CCTGGCGAATCGAGGATAAGTCGCTAGTAAACAATAAATAAAAAGCGTTATTGTATTTAAAACAAAACAATTAATTATACACATATTTGATTTCATTTGTTTATATTTGCCTACAATATGAAAGAGTAATCTCAGTAATTAATCCAATGAATATTTAAATTAAGCCCTCTGGCTAATTGCTTAATAAAATAAATTAATATATCCACTTTCTTAATAGATAGAAACACTCCTATACACGAGTTATTTCCCAGTTTCTATCGATACTTAATCCATAGCGTATTTCAATTATAAATATGATCTTGTACCACGAACGATGTAACCTAAAGGTATCCAACGAAAACGCAAGCTATTAACTGTACGCATTAAATAAGCTGACCCTACGGTTAATTTGAACCTGCACCGACTAAATCAATTAGCTCCTTACATACGAGTAGTGTAGAGCTGCCAAGGATGCTCATAAGTTGTTATGGGTTTAAGATTTTGTTATCAACTTCAATTGTATAGTCCAAAGTTTACTTTTAAAATGTTAAGTTAAATATGATGTTTCTTGTTTGTACCTACCTACTAAAAATGTATGATAGCAATTATATAAAACTTTTTTACAAAATATCAGGTAGTAGAAGTCGATTAAAAAAGTTTTAAAGTGCACGTACAAATGTACGCCAATTTTGGAAACATTTTAAGTTTTCTTTTTAAATTTTATATAAATGAACACTAAAATTAAAATTCATTAAAAATCTAATGTTTTATAATGTAATTTTTGAACGAATCCAAACAATGAATAAAAACTATTCATATCTGTCAGTGTCTATTTATTATTTTCTTAACTGACCGGGAATTTAAATGTACCTAAGCTTACACAATATCAATATAAATCAAACCGAATATTAAATTTCATACGAAGCCAAGTTATTTTAAGTTCACAGTATAATATATCTAATAACAGTCAATATTTGTATAAAATAGCACAATCGTACGCCCAATTTAAACTACAATGTAAAACGCTTAAACACCCACCATTGAATTGCAAACTACGCCTAAATTATACTAAAAGAAATAAGCATGCTATTTCGATATTTATTGTCCGTCCACCAAAATACTTTGACCTATCGAAACATTGTTATTAATAGCGTTGAGGAGATAGCTCGGAGGTCAAAGTAAACTGCCTCAATGCGCATCCACTGGGCGGATTCGGAATGCGCGTTCGGGCAAGATCGTTGCCTCTCGGATGCCGGGGCCCCGCCCACCTGTGTGTGCGCATATCACTGTCTCTATCATTCCCATAGCTTTCCCTCATTCCGTCTCGTACCGCCGTGGGGAGCGTACGCCACACCCACTGACCAGCGGCAGGCTATTTTCCAATTATGTAGAAGCTTTTTGCTTCTTCATGCCCAAGATAAGCTTTCTATTATAAAAGGAATGAGGTAAGACGTATCTCGGGTCATAGCAACAGGCTCTAGTTAGTTTGATTTTTATTATAAATTGTATTACTAACAACTACAATATCTAAAAACAAGATAGTTTGAACAATCATGTATGTACATATATGAATGGTTAGATATTTAGAATAAAATGTGTGTGTACACAATGTGATTATTTTAAAAGGAGCTTTATTTTTTGTTTAAACTATATTTTATAAATAAATTTGTTGATACAGTAAGTAGCTGTACGTACCTACTTGTTAATGTAAACGCATATAAAATGAAATATATTTATGTACTAAGATACAAAATACAAATTAAGTTTGAAGAGAATAATTGTATTTCTTCAAATATTCCTTGAAGAAATATATATAAGTAGGTACCTACTTTGGGGTCTGCTACTAAGTTTAGTACCTATATTTATTTATTTTTAGTTAACGTCTTTCATATAAAATGTTATAATCATAAATGTTATAAAATTGATTTCAAATCCGTATAAGCTGTTATCTTTCACCTCCTTATACCATTTTAAAATATGTTAACAATAGGTACCTACTTAATAAATAAAAACAAGTCAACTCAACAAACTCTGTCTCTTAAGGTCCTTGAAAGTAGCGGCAACTAGTTAGTTACAGATAGATACACGCCGACTTTCATTATAAGAAAAAGTTACAGCGTGACTCAGCACATTCTGAAACAAGTAGGTACTTCATAGGTAATTTCATTTAATAGCTTATCAACTTCAATCAGTGGCAGCGTATGGTGTGTACCAAAATTTTAATGGGAAGCCAAGTAAAAGTTGAAAGCGCTAACAAAAATTAAGAATGAACTAGAAATAACTAAAGCGTACATCCCATGACCCCTTAAAATCATCTTTTTAAAAAAAGTCGAAGAATGGCGACCATCTCGGATATAATTATTATCGAATGAGCGTACAGCCGCCAACCGTCAGCTCTAAATATAAGCTACGTTCATGCTTTAAACTTAATAGCAATCTTTATGGAGTAATGCGTGCTATAGTGATGCGTCCTATTTTTATCGATGTCGATAACCATTATTATAATTGGCACCTTGCGTAAAAATGAAGTATAATTAGTATTCGCACTCTATTTTGACTTGAAAATTGCTCAGTGTTAAAAGTATCAATTATTAGAGATTGCCATATTTGATGGTTTTAGTTACGAAAAAGATGGTATTGAAATAATATAAATTATTTTCAAATAAAATATGAAACAATCAGATATTTTTATTACAGTATAAATAATAAGTTCTTAAACGAAATTGAGTAAACGACCTATAAAGATTTATCAATAAATAATGCACGACTCGAAGGCACACCGCACCTGCCTGCAAACGAGCTTAGCTGCTAGAGCGGCTTAAATTATCGAGTGGCACATCACTAGCCGGGAGCAAAGGTTTCACAGAGGGCGCAAGCATCAATTTGCGCGGTAGCCGCCGCGGGCGCCGCCGCCCCTGTCATTACCCCACCGCCCTCCGCCGCACCCCCGACCCCCTCCCGACCTCCAGGAACATACTTTAACCTTTTTTGCTCCCTCACAACCTGTTCGCGGGATACGGCTGCTGTGCCTTCACGGCGCAATTTAAACATCGGTTCATGGCCACAGGCGATACAGCCTGCCTGTACCCTAACTATACGGCCTTCATAAGTGCACTGCTGCGTCCATGTGTTTTAACTTACGGCTCGCCGTCAGGGATGGAAATTACTGAGTACGGCAATTATTTACTATGTTATTGGAAGATGGAGGGCGACATTTTTCTGTAATTTTTTTTACGTTTTATTTCAAGTTATATATTTTTATTGTATGTATATCTATACTAGATAAGTTCTTATTGTGTATAAAAACGTTATTAATTAAAAGAAAGTTTCTAACAGAGTATCTATTTTTGTATATTACATGTATCATTGATTTCCCAAAAGACTTTAAAATTCTAAGCTTTATAATAACAAAAACAAGATCTGAAATTAGAGCCTCGAAACATATCCTGTTGTCTAACGTTTCTAACCAATAAAACAAATTAGGCCAAGATCGTTCCTGGAACCGGCAATTTGATCCCCAATTAAACAATTTCCTTCGATATCATTCCAGTTCGTTTAGCCGACCACGGGTCACTTTTGACCCCGAGGCACGGGTATTAGAGACCCAAAATGATTTTACGGCTTCGTAACCCCCATTAAATTTAAATATGCCCTTAAACCTCGTCTGTACCATCCGCTTCAAGGTTAAGCGGGTCGATCGGTCATTTTGCTTATATTAAACATTATTAAAATTAACTTACTCCTCATATAAAATACTGGCTAGATCGAAGGAAAAAGACAACAAAGGAGCAAAATGACTCCTGCAAATTGACCTGTCGTTCAACGCAAGCAGGCGGCGGGCGCCGGCGAGCTGTCGCTGCCGCTAAATAATTCTGTTCCCATGAACTAGCTACTAGCTATCTCATTTTAATTATTCATAGGCTTTTTTATACGCCATCACTTTTTACCGGTCGACGGCTGCCCGCTTATTTCTCAAAGCTATATAAAATTAAAAAATAAAATAATTGAAGGCTCGGCGCATTTTGAAAAAAGGAATAAGTCGGATGACACGGATCGAACTCCGGGCAAATGTCGCGCGGTAAAAAGTGGTCGAGCGTAAAGATGTTCGGGGGGAGTCGCGGGGGGTACGGCGCAGGACGTCACGTAGGCGGCTCGCTTTTTGTCAACGTTCCCGCGGAGATGACAGGTCGCTGGACGATGCGCCCGCGACCCGACCGATCGGTATCGAATCGTTTTGATACTTGCAATTCGCATCGCCTGCTTTGTCGCACGAATGTCCACCTCACCGTGAAATCACTTGTCGTCCAACGCAACGAAACAAGTAGATTCCTATAAAATTTTCTATTATACAGTCCTGTTATATTCTGTTTTAAATTATACTTAATAGTGACACTCAAAACACTTACGAGTAAAATGTTTTAATATGTTTCAACTGAGCTTTTTCACTCAGTTAACTTTTTTTAAGAAAGGTTATTTATATTTTTTAAATAAATTTCTCGTTTTGAATCAAGTACCAGGGCCAGTCACTCGCACTGTAAATGCTGCGTGACACAGCGACAGGTGCACTGGCTTCAACCGGTCACTAATAAACTCTTAAACTCTGTAGAGCTTCCCACAACCTGCCAAACGAACTTACGCTGTTTTTATCGACGGCCATTTGCTTTGCAAATTATTATACGAAAACATTTGCGAGATAAACTTGGGATGTCCTGTGAGGACAATAAATAAAGGCTTTTTGCTTTGTAGTTTTGAATGTAACCGTTTACATATAAAAACTTGTCGCGTTTAACGCTAGCTTTATTGAGACACGTATGACATGTTTTGATCGAATTAAGTAAACCATAAATGAATGTTGTACACTTTATTCTTTTACTATAAATATATGATACTAAAGTAGTAAATATATAAAGAAGGTATTTTCATTGCTACTTTTAGTCCTCAAGAAATGATCATTATGTACCCATTATCTACCCTTTAAACATTAATTACATTTTATTATATGGGATTCTCTATCTTTACAGAATTTTCGCGAACAGAGGATTGATGGGGCTGGTCTGCCTCTTCTAACAGAGGAACACCTAACTGGCATGCTACAGATGAAACTAGGTCCGGCACTGAAATTGCGCGCGGTAGTTGCAAGAAGGTTAGAGCCATGCGCTCAATGCCAGGCGACGGCCTCTCCGCAAACACCCAACACAGCCGTTTCAACACCCATCGCACCTAAAGTTAACGGTACATCGCTCAAATCAGAACCAAGAAGCAACACCACGAGTCCTAGTTAGAATATTCTAGACTATCAATTAGACTGAGCATCTGGAAATTTATGATTTATCTATGTAGCAAAGGTTGTATTTGTATATTTTAGATCCGTATTGTAATTTTGTAAAGTGTATTTGCTACTTTAACTTTTACTGAGCGTAGTTACTCTTTTCGTAGTAGTTTGCTTGTATATAATATATGTAGATTAGTTATGTATAATGTGTCTTGTAACAAGTTTTATGATGAATATCTCGTTTCGACTCGTATTTTATATAAAAACGAACTACTGCTGTTTCAAAGTTTAAACAACGTGTAGAGAGAAGTATACATTTTAAGAGCTTTATTTTCTTATAGATTTCCTGTTAAAGTTTTTATAACATAATTGACAATAGAATTGATTTGTTAATTAGAAGAGTCTTTTCATTATCGTATCGGGTCCAATTTACATTCATGCCAGTTTCAATTCATCTCCAGTTTTAGTTTATCTCCTTCGTACATTAGTTATAATGCCGTAACTAACTTTAGTCATTTTCTTCGTTTTACTCTACCTGCTATAATAGATTTTGCATTTAGTTACGCTTAAGAGTATCTTAGCGGCTAAGGGTTGTAAATAAGTTGTTGCCGTCCAAATGTGTTGTGTCGTTCTAATTATAATAAGAAAATGTTTTTGTATGTTTGTATGTGACTTTCCAAATAAGGTACCAACTATTTTTGTTCTCATTTAATGCGTATTTTAATTAAAATTTATAATAAAACATACAAAGATTTTGTCAAACAAATGATTTCGGTGCTAAAAGACCCTGATATAAATATTTGAAAATGTTGTAGAAATTACTTGTAAATAATGGCCTTACTGTAAAATATCTAAATTCGAGGCTAATTACTACTTAACTTTGATACAGGGTCACAATGTTACAAACTTTCTGTATATAATTCATACATTTATAGTTATCACGTATTACGTATTGTTATGTTACGTACATATGAATAGCATTTATTTACACCACACCTGAAGAAAGCTCATTATGATACAGTGTAAAGTAATTTCAAGTAGAGATTACATCTAGTAGTATATTTTATGTAAAAGAATTAAATGGAATATTTCATATATCGCATAATACAATTAAATTCCTATAAACAAAGTAAGTTTTGTAAATATGTCTGACTTATTAATGTTATAATTATTTTAATCTGTATAAGATATAGATTATTGCAAGAATATTTTAGCAAAATACAATTTATATCTGTGGTAATCTCCTTAATTGCCAAAATAGTATATTTGTAACAATATACATATTTTCAATTTAATTCAATTGTTTATATTTTGTGGGAAAAACTGCGATGCTTTGAGAGTGGTATATTCATGTAACAACACCCTATACTGAATATAATATCATTATTTACAATATATAAAGACTTTTATAACAAAACATGTAAGATAACTGTTCAAAATATCCAGTTTTTCTATAATTTAGTAATAATAACATATCAATAGGTCAAAGGTGCTAACGTCAAGCGAGTAAATCGTGCCTTACAATGTCTTCCCTGAAATCGTATATCAGATATGTATATTATTTCTTTTTTCAAAAGTATTACGGTTATACGCTTTAATCGGATGATAATACAATATTAATAATAATAGTATATAAGAATAATACGAATTTGTTACTAGCGAATTATATATAGTGCGCAGCTTTCGTTATTAACGTACTTTAAAATGGACCAGTGACTTACTTTTTGTGTAAATTTTGTGTACCTTAATGTTTTAGTCCTGTATGTTGTATGTATGAAAAATGTTAACGAACGGTTCAAAATTGTATATAATTATTTTCACATGTTTCCTGTACTTTTGTGGCTTACTGTATTCTAATATTTAGGTTAATATTAGTGATGCGCCATATGTCAAAGTCATTTAACATTAAATTAATTAAAAATAAATTAATACGTAACAAACATCTCTCCTACTTGTCACATGGCGTATCCCTTTTATTATCTGTTACCACGTTGTTTGTAATTTCACACAGTATGCTATGTTCTATTGTAAACCAATATTCACATTTTTTTTAAATCTAACGGTATCTTCAAAGAAATATAAACTAGAATATATTTCAATTATTTTGATTGTATTTTTTATCTGTGACAATATTTAATCTACGGAACTATGGTGTGTTTGTTTTTGTACTTTTTGCGTAAAACAAGGTTTTAGTCACTTGTTAATTTCCTTGAGAATATTAAGTACTTAGTTTATTTTAAGCTTGTTTAGTTATAATTTCGGACAAAGTTACATCCGATTTTAAGTATTTATGTGGAAGAGAATAAAACAATGATTTATTCAAAAGGTTTTTTTTAATTATATTTACATTTTAATTACTATGCTAACCTTACAATAAAAACAAAAAAAATCGAAATAAATCGAAGCAACAGCTATTTCATAATTTGCTATTATAAATAATTATGTTAAATTTAATCAGAATTTAATATTATTAATAGAGCATGAATATTAGTAATTAATATAAATATTTTAAATTCTTAAATATGTAAGTATCATTTAAAACTAAAAAAAATTTAATATAATGCGGCTACAGCTCGCCATATATATCATATATAAATACGCCTATAAAGCCTACCTATTAAATACATACCTAATCAAATATTTTCGAAATCGGTGCCAGCTCATACAAAGCAAAGCACACCGACTTCGAAAATATTTGATTAGGTATGTATAGTAAATGAAAACTACCAATCAGTTATTTTTTACTTTTTAGTGCTTTTGTTTGAAGTCGGTTTTTATTTTTTTGTTAAAAAGTTTTTATTTTTCCCTTTTTAGTGTAGACAGTAGTAGCAAAGTAAGAATTCTAAAGTGTTAGGCTTGTCAAACCAAACAAAATAAGCCCAAACTCAAAGTATCTACTATTAGTCGTTGAAGAGTTCCACCTATCCACCTTCTGGCCTTACCATCAGATCAGGTCAACAATACCGAACTACTGTACTATCAACGGAAATAGAAACACTTGCAAAGTTTCAAGTCAATATGACAATTAGAAGTAGGTTAAATTCATTATTAGCTATTTTTCCACCCTTAGGGGTGATATTTTTTTTTTAATTTAAATGGGACCAATCTGGAAGTATACCCTTTCAAACAAAATAAAAATTGTCCAAATCGGTTAATAAATGACGAAGTTCTGAGGTAACAAACATAAAAAAAAAACAAACAAAAAAAATACAGTCGAATTGAGAACCTCCTCCTTTTTGAAGTCTGTTGAAAACCATTCAAGCTCAGAGACGCACCCGAGTTAAGTGAGGGTAAGTCGATAGTATAAGTATATTACTCGTAGTAAAATTATTTCTACATCTTATTAGATAATAAGATTTTTCCTGACTTGTAAAATTTTTAATTACTCCTTTTTGTTTACCGCTTCCTTCTCATTATATATGAGCATTTATCATAACTAAACAAAAAACATTTCTTTCAGTCAGACTCGTTATGTACCTGTTGCTTATCTTAATTATCTACTATCAAGAACACAATTGTACATTCAAAATCTTATTTTCAATAATTGATTGCCCATGTTTTATTTACAAAAACGAAGTTATTTTTACCAATTAAAAAATTAATTTATTGTCTTAAAAATAATATTTTTATTCCTGTTCAGCCTTTTCAGCAACCAGTTGGAAGTTCCTCTCTTGATGATGGCGACGCTTTGCTCTATATTCCATAAGCTCTATAGTTGAATATCCTGAGAAGCCTAAGATGAGAAGACCGACTAAAATATATAACCTGAAATTAAAATACACCCAGTAAGTATATATAAGCAGAACTTAATTCGTATGGTTCCTATATAGGAATGCTGAATATTCCTTGACGAAAACCTGCTTAATATATAGTATACAATAATCTTTTACGTCAAGCTCACTATATTTTTTATTTGGACATAACCTGCGACTTTAAATACAATAAAATTAATAAACAAGTTTCTACGCGGGCTCTTTCTGTTTTCTTTCCCTTTCCATCTGTCTTTAGCAGCGCCATCTAATATCACATTCACGTTACACGTTAAGTATTTTCTTAATAAAAGTATTCCTTGTGTTGGTCATATACAAGGTTAAGTGTTAACTTTGTAGAGGCAATTAGGATGCTCCATGAACCCGGAGGCCAGACAGCCCTCGTGGCTTGAGCCTTCACGCGGGAGTATTTTAATGAAAGTGCGAATAATATAATAATAATAGAATATCCCACTATCGCAACTCCGGGTTCCGTAATAGTTTTAATTTGTTTGTAGCCTCGCAGAACTCTCACGAATGACGGGTGGAATGAAAAATTTCCAAAACCAGGAAAATAAAGATAAAAAAGCTGAACATAGAATATTTACAAAGATAACAATTAATTTTATGTAAATTCATTTACATTTTTATTAAGTTTTTGTAAGTTTTTATAAAAATCCAAATGTCATCATTAATAAGAATAACATCAGGTATACATTATTATTATCAACGTCGATCTTAGCGGTAATCCCGCTAAATGCAAAGAATTAAAAATATCAATGTCTATGACAACCGGTTTCTAAGTTAAAGTATTGTTGTGCCATCTCGTAACTAGTTAAAGTAGCACCCGTCAATCCTCCTGCAGAATTAGACGAATGTGTTAGTAGTATTCCAAGAGCTGGCGACGAGTTTTGGGAAGGTCCTTTTAGCAAGTTAAAATTGTGAAAAAATATAATTTCGAAAAAATTTAATAAAAAAAAAAGAACCCCAGACGTTTTTGTCGGTTATAAAGTATTGCCAGACCTCTCCAAAGATTATTTTTTTTTTATTCCAAAAAATATACTTTTGTCAATCTGAATTTTTAATCGCGTATTTATTGAGTAATTTTTAATAATATTTGCAAATCGCCAGACGAATTTACCGGTTATAAACCATTCCCAGATGTAAATAAAGTTTACAAATTAGTACTACAAAAAAGTCTTATACGTAGCCATAGGTGCGAGAAAAATAGCTTATCGAGGTATGCCAGCAGCTGATGGGGACCCAAGGTCCACGCGCTGTCATTGGTTATCGAGAAACCGCACGTTTCGAGTATGGTTCGGGCTCTGCGTTCACAACAGAGTATTTTAGAGTAGTTTATTAGGGTTCCGTACCCAAAGGGTAAAACGGGACCCTATTACTAAGACTCCGCTGTTCGTCCGTCTGTCTATCCGTCCGTGACCAGGCTGTATCTCATGAACCGTGATAGTTAAACAGTTGAAATTTTCACAGATGATGTATTTCTGTTGCCGCTATAACAACAAATACAAAACAACAGAATAAATTAAATATTTAAGGGGGCTCCAATACAAGAAACGTGATTTTTTTGCTATTTTCATAGATAATGGTACGAAACCGTTCATGCGCGAGTCCGACTCGCACTTGGCAAGTTTTTATTTTTTTTCTTAAAATTGAGAATTAATAAAAAATGTATAAAACAATAATTACGCTTGCAAAACACACAATACAATTGGCAAATATATTTTTGGCAACTCGATTATTGTTTAATCTTTTAATTTAGGACTCGCGCATGAAGGGTTTCGTACCATTATATTTTTTGGAATAAAAAAACAAATATATGAAAACTAAATTAAAAGATTAAATAAAAATCAAGTTGCAAAAATATGTTTTTTCGGATATATTTTTTTTTGCAAATGTTATATACTGCGCAGTAACAAAATACCACTAAAGCTATACCAGACTCGCGGGACTGGACTCGCCAATTCACGAAATTATATTTTTTCACAATTTCAACTTGCCAAAAGGACCTTCCCAAAATTCGTCACGAGCTCTCGGGCTATAGATTGTGATTATACTATGTTACTATTAAGTACCTAGTTCTGACGCAAAGATACGGTGCAGATGCATAAGAGAGCACACTGCCAGTCGCTTCCCATAAACGGAAGTTCGAGTAGGCCGCTTCCTCGTTACCCGGAAACAATATTCCAGAAAGTGCTGAAATAATAAAAAAAATATATATTGAAGTGATTGATTAAAAATTGAAGTAAGTACAAAAACAAAAATGGAACGTTAAAATATAATTTTCTTTATTCAATGGCAATAATATTAAATTATTTTTACTCGCTACTATACTTAGAGGTAGTTACTTAGCTAGCTTCGCTCAAGTGACGAAAGGCCCATATGTTACTCCAGTATATCCATACTAATATTATAAATATGAAAGTGTGTTTATTAACAACAATCACAAACAAACAGTTTGTTTGTTTGTCCTTCTTTCACGTGAAAACGGAACGATGAATTGGCGTGATTTTTTGTGTGACAATAGTTGGAGGGTTGGAGAGTGACATAGGCTACTTTTTACCGCGGGAAATTATCTCATTCCCACGGGAAAACACGTTATAATACAAGGCAAAAAATATTTATGACCAGAATTACTTGAAACTTGGTATTATTGCTCTTCAGTACAATTAAATAAATACATGTTTTAGCATTTTTCGAAATACATCCCATAAGGGGGTAAAATAAGGCATGAAAGTTTGTATGAAACCTACCTTTTTAGAGTTTTTTTTTTTGGAGTTTTACGGTGAGCGAAGGTTCTGCTAGTAATATTATAAATACATAAGGCACTTAAGGGTGCACCTGAACGGAGTAAAGAAGACACTAATTTTTAAATAAGGATTAAGTTAGACGCATGCATATCGCATACCGTTTACTTGGACCAGCCAAACTGCGTCTGCAGCGCCCCAGATGGCTGCCAGTACAAAGAACACGAGCCACTGCTCCGGGTCTGGCCTCCATAACAACATTGAAGTCAACAGACATAAATTCAGGATCTGCAATTACAAAAGTATATAGTCGATATCTTTTTTTGAAAAACTATATGTATGAACTGAGCCTCATGCACACTGTCGCTTTTTAGCGTCATCGACGCACATACTATGAGCTGATAGATTTAAAAGGTATATGAACATCATGTTTCGTAAACTCACCAACAAAATAAATGTACTGTTATATTCCTTTATACAATGCAATTAAATCTTACTAAGCATTTATTTAATTCAAAGTATTTTTCCTTTATATTAACCTTAGTCATGCAATTGCTGAGTTCTTTTTTTAACATTAATTCTAATTTCATTTTTAAAGTTAGACTCAGAGCCCCGAATAGATCGGACATAGATTCCGAGACGCATTAAAGTTCGGAAGTCAGAATTTATAACAGTTTTGTGTGTGAACTTTGTAATAAGCTTTTAGGTTTATTTTGTGTTCTTTTTATAAAAAGACTTACGGGATCGGCTACCTAACAGTACACATATTCATACTGATATCCATACAAACGCGCGACAAATGCTCATCCACAGCGCGTTCACACACACACACACATACAAAAAAAAATTACCCCCGTGCCTCGGATCAATCTTTTGCGCTACAGTAAACTCTATCTCAATACACTCCCTACTGCTTTAGCTATGATTTTGAACTAACAGATGTAATCAGCAAAACTTAATGCATACTCAGAAAACTTAAAACATTTTGCACTAGAATTATAGCAATTATTGTAGCTATTTTAAAATACCCAATGCATATTATTACTTTATGATGGATTATGGTGACAAGTTCCTAGAAGGTACCACTTTGAATAAATGATAATTATTATTTATATTGTATATTATAGAATATTACAACAGTCATTATATTATAAAGTCAGTCAATAATATATGTGTAGAAACATAAATCATAAATCGCTTGCAGGTGTTTATTTTTAGCATTTATATTCAAAACTAGATATAAGAGTTCAGAATCAATCTAGATTTAATACTATATTATTTAACTTCTTTCAAAGCCAGTCTTAAGAAATACAGTCATCGAAGAACAATAAAAGTATGTGACTCTATCTTATAATTTTAACTTTAAACAATTTTGCTAGTAACTCGTGATTTTATCGTTTATTTATACTGTTTTGTTTATGTAAAATAGTCACAGATTTTTATTTTTCTTATTTTTTATTTTACAAACTTACAAGTGCAGTGACCATGACCGGAAACCGCCCAGTCAACTTGACCACAACGCCAGCCACTGGAGCAGCTAAAGCGTTGAACACGCCGAAGCAAATCATAACAAAACCAATGTTACTGACACCATATGCACATGTGACGAAAGCCTGCAATAAACATAAACAATCTTTATGATAATTTCAAAACTTGTAATTCACTAATAGTTTAAATTTAAAATTGACACCAAAAAAATACAATTACTGAATTATAAATATGGACTGGAAAGAAATGTCGTTTCTGCGCATATCGTTTTTCGTTTGTTATATAAACTGGTTGTGGACACCAAAGTCCTGGAAACTTATTTTTAAGTTAGAGTGACTTTTTTGCTTGTAATTAGTTCAACTTCAAAACTTATATTGATTTTATAGTAAAATGGTAGGGAAAAAACAACGATGATGATGTTCTCCTAGCCGATTCCGGCTACGGCGGCCAATCTCATTGACACTAGCCAACTGCGCAGGAGATATTATAGTGCACAAGTGTACGCGCAGACACAAGGCCACTCTCTATTCCTGTCGCTCTCATACTCCGATGGGACGACTACTCGACACGACCAGTGAGAGTTAAGGCGCAGGACCGACGGCTTTACGTGCTCTCCGAGGCACGGGGGTGAAACACCGCCAACTTCCCAACTCCGGGCTGTTACTGAGACTTATTATACAGAAAGACTCAATAACTAAACTTGATCCGACCCGGGACTCGAACCCAGGACCTTCGAGTGTGCAGCCGTACATGCTAGCCACTACACCACCAAGGCAGAGGCAAAAACAATAAGAGATACATGTCCACAGTCCAGCGTTGTATGCTTTTTGAGCTACATTATTTCCGGACCCCCTAATACTTCGGAATTGTCACCCTAATAAGCTACTAGCTTTTACCCACAACTCCACTCGTATAATTTGTTTACCTACTCGGTGATATAGTGGCTAGCATGTGTGCTATGCACATCCAAAAGTTTTGGGTTCGAATCCTGGATCAGGACAAGTTTAGTTATTGAGTATTTTTGTTAAGAAAGTCCCAGTAACAACATTGGATTTGGGAAGTGGCGTTGTTTCACCATTGTGCCTGGGAGAGTACAGGTCGTATCGAGTTAACGTCCTATCGGAATATAAGAGTGATAGAAATAAATTGTGCACTTGTGTCTGCGTGTACATTTGTCATTTGTGCACCATAATATCTCCTACATGACTAGTCTCAATGAGATTGCCCGCCGTGACCGAATTCGGTCGGGAGGACATCATTTTGTTTATGTATAATTGCTCCGCTTTTAAAGCTCGTAGCATAGATAGCCAACAAAGAATAGTAAACATAAATGCAAGAAGATTTTTCTGTCTAGTACCTACTCTCTGTCGGGCGATTCTTTTTACTAACCTTTCTTATAATATTATCTTATTCAAAATAGCTATTTGGACATTTAAAACATGAACATGTTACAGTCACGACGACAATAACTAAGTGAAAGGTTGTCGCGGGCAGGGACTAGGGCGACCTTCAACTCAAAATTTAACCACAACCACAAACAGGAAGTTAACGCAAATGAGTTAACGTACACAACATTTTAAATGTCATTCATAGACCATTCTGTGAATATTACAACAATCTTATAATATAAAAATCAATCACTGAATGTGTTGGTAAGCACAAATCTCGAGAGCAGCTGAACCGATTTCGCAAATTCTTTTTTTAGAATATTCCTTGAAGTACGAGGATGGTTCTTACGGAGACAAAAATTTAAAAATTGCCTGAAAAAGTCTAGAAACAACACTTTTCTATACTCTCGTACAAAAGATTCGCAATAAAAGTTAAAAGTCAATTTGAACTTTAATACCATACCATAAAGTTTAAGTGTTAGTGGAGAGGTTCCGGGAAGGCAAAACAATTGTGTAACGTTAGTATCGTATAAATATTAATGTCAATATTATTAACAAAAAAAAATTATATGGCTAACGCTGGCTAATAACTAATTATATGTATTTAAAACGTACCTTGCGATCAACCCGAGCGAATCGAGGGTGAGCCGCTAGTTATTCAATAAAACAATCTATATAGATAAATATGATTGAAGATCTGTTTGCAATGTCAAAATAACAGGTTTTTACGTATGCGTAAAATCAATGACATACATATTATATAACGTTAAATCTATACTAATATTATAAGCAGGTAAAGTTTTTGAGTTTGTGAGATTGTGAGTTTGTGACGTTGTAAGGGGTAATCTTTGGATCTACTGAACCGATTTAGATGAAATTTGGTAAGAAGATAGTTTGAGACCCTGGGAAGGACATAGTATACTTTTATCCCGGAAATCATCCCTTAAATGGGTAAAAATGAGAATGAAAATTTGTATTGGGAAGCTAGCTAGGTACGAACCCGAGCGAAGTGAGGGTGAGTCGCTAGTCGATATAGAGCGATACTCCTTTAGCTTTAGCGATTTTCCTAACCTGCGTAAAGTCAGCCGCCATAAAAGCTTGTTCAGCGCCTATGTAACCGATCACTGGTAGCAACAACAGCTGGTACTTGTGCCTGAGTTGGCGCAATGTTACTGCAAGCAACGCCAGGCCAGATTTGTTTTGTGTCATGGATTCACGACCTGCGTTATATCTGTAATGTGTAACACATTCGTTATTTAATTTGGTATAGTAATAAAAACTTAAAAAAACTGACTTCCAGGCACTAAAATGTATAAAATAACTAAACGGAGGTTTTCATTTAGAATAGATACCTAATCAGATATTTTCGAAGTCGGTGCCAGCCGATGCGAAGCAAATCTAATACATTTCGATACGTAATATATATTTTTACCTATTAGATATTCGTGTCTTAAAATAAATCAATATATAATCTGAATCTCGGAAACGGCTCCAACAATTTTCATGAAATTTAGCATACAAGGGGTTTCGGGGGCGATAAATCGATCTAGATTAGTCTTATGTCTGGGAAAACGCTTGTTTTTGAATTTTCATGAGGTTTTCTTTTGCATTATTCCACGCAAAATATTATGTTCGATAATTTCGCACGCTCGGATATAAACAACATGGTGAAGCGTCCGGGTTCGAATCCCGGTCGGATACTAAGGTATAATTTTTTTTGTTTTTTTTTTTGGATTTATTCAAGTTTTAGTTTTTTTTTTTAAAGAAAATTGTACTTTTTAACCAAAAACACCGAGCGAAGCTCGCTGGCCCAGGTTTATTACAGTATTTAATATGTGAAAGTGTTTATTCAAAGTGATGAGATTGCCTTAGACTATAATCTAAGGAGATGGCTTACATCCTGGCTACACACGTAGTCACACTTTTGCCGATATACTTACAAAAAAGTTACATACTCTATACTTACTAGGTACTAAGACACATGCTTATAATAATCGTAATAATGTCTATTTTGTATTGACTATTGTATATTAAGTTTTTACCTACTACTTTTGAGAAACTTTACTGATATATTTCAATCAATATCAAACTAAAAGAGGCATGTTGTTTACAACACTGCAAATAATATTAATTAGTTCGCCTAGTGATCGAAATTGGAGGTAGTTATGCAAAATAAATCCAACCACAAAAACTTACTTGTGATAAAGTAGGAGTTTTAGTAAAATTGGTATATCAAAATAACAAGACCGTAGTTTTTTTTTAAATTCCTCACAAATATTGGGTATTTTTATACAGAAAGTAGATAACTTTCTGTATATAAGTTGATATGTAGGTGACGTTTATGACAGTAACTCAAAAAAACAGTTTTCGTGAGCTGATTCCATTTTACATAACTACGTCCAATTCGACCATACATTCCATTTTTTTATTGATAACACTAAAACACATCAATAGCTATTAAACAAAAAAAATCAGTTGACAAACAGAGGCAAAAAGGTACTGGACTACTTTGTTTTTGCCTATTTATGTAAAGATAATATGAAAAATAATGAAAAAAAATGTTTTTAACACCTGCTCAAAGAATCCACGCCTATTACGACAAGAAGAATGGCTGTTGCCATACATGCAAGGTACACTCCGGCGATTATTTGAATTTTCAGAGCGGATGGAGGCTGCAAATTTGTATTATCCTGTAAGTAAATTTATACGAATTAATTAAATATAGCCAAATCTTTACTAGTTTCTTAGAAAAATGTGTTTGTTATTCATAACTTTCATGCATATAATGTTATTGTGTAAGTGTATTTATTGGTTTCGAGTTTTAAAGTTTGCGGTAGTTTAAAGTAGGTACTAAAATTAAAAATATATTGAACAAAGTTACAAATATAAGTGAAGTCAAACGAATAAAGTAAAGTGTGGTTTGTAGTAGTTTAAGAGTACTTTGTAAATATCAAAACCGCGTTCAAACTAAATAATTTTAAACCGAAAATTTAAAGAACTGAATAAAATAAACATTAAAAGGTACAATTCTCACATGTGCATCATTGCCACTGCAGAAGTTAACTCCACAGATGCCACCATAATCAATTGTTGGTGTAGATAAGTTTCCAATCAAAGCTGCTACTTTAGGCGTTTTCCCTATTGTTTCGTTAACAAAACTGAATGTTTCTCCCAATGATGATGATAGAACTGAAAATAACAAAGAAAACTTAGTGAGATGTATGTTTATTTCGATCCAATCACACGAATGCACGTGATCAACTTAACAGCCCTTGTGCACCCGAGACGCCAGCGTCCCTAGGGACACCTTTTTTTGGATATATACATACAGAGTTTGCCTCTCCATGTATTTATTTTTTATTATCTTATTCACATTATTATTATAAATACAAAAGTTTCTATGTGTGTAAGTACTGTGTATGTTAGTTACTCCTTCACGTTGAACCGACTGGACCGATTAAAATAAAAAATAAAAACTTTTTAACAAAAAAATAAAAACCGACTTCAAACAAAAGCACTAAAAAGTAAAAAATAACAGATTGGTAGTTTTCATTTACTATACATACCTAATCAAATATTTTCGAAGTGGGTGTGATTTGCCTTGTATGGGCTGGCACCGATTTCGAAAATATTTGATTAGGTATGTATTTAATAGGTAGGCTTTAATTACTTAGCCAAAGCACACCGACTTCGAAAACGGAAACACTTGCAAAGTTTCAAGTCAATATGACAATTAAAAGTAGGTTAAATTCATCATTAGCTATTTTTCCACCCTTAGGGGTGGTATTTTTTTTTTTTTTTTTGAAATTTAAATGGGACCAATCTGGAAGTATACACTTTCAAACAACACAAAAATTGTCCAAATCGGTTAATAAATGACGGAGTTATGAAGTAACAAACATAAAAAAAATACAGTCGAATTGAGAACCTCCTCCTTTTTGAAGTCGGTTGAAAACTTAGCATACTGATAGACTATGAACTGCAGTAACACATAAGATAATATTAGTTAAAAAAAATGCCAAAAGATGGCGTTAACTGTAACATTATAAACACAAAAGGTACCCAGGGAGAGTCAACGAAAGGTAAGAAAGTAAGTAAATTCTTTTTACATTGTAAAATAGACAAATTACAATACCTCCCGCACCTTTCTGTCCTATATTGATAATATTATATTAATGAATAAACTAACTTATAAATAAGACTTACTTGCTGAAGAAACAAGATTTCCCCAAATCTGAGCCATTTGATAGAACATGAAAAAGAGCCCGAAAAATCGAACTACTAATACCTCTGCTGGTACTCCTGATAATTTGGCGTAAGGTTCTGCTACCTACAAGTAAATCATCACTTAATAATGTTCCCTAAGCATAGTAGTTGGGACCCCGTTCTTTACGATCCGGTCCGGCGCTCAAATTTCAATTCAGATAAATATTTGTTAATACAAATATTAACAGCGTAACTTATAAGGACTAATGTCCTTATAAGGACTAATGTCCTTATAAGGACTAATGTCCTTATAAGTTACACTGCTTTTGAAAAAGAAATTAAAATAATATTCTATCAATAATATTTTTCGAAAAAATTACTCAAGTAATTATTATCATTTATTACGAAATTAACATTCTAAGTTATAAATATACATGGTTTTATAAGTAAGCATAAAAAGTTATTTCAAAAAGGACAAAAAATTTCGTATCAAAAAAAGCTCATATTATGTTATATTATAGCTGGTACACAGTGTAAACTTTTATATAAAAAACCCAATCACACGTTGCTGTAGCACACATATGCAAGTCGTTAATTTTGCAATAAAAAATCGGGATAAAAACTATCCTATCTTTTAAGTTGGAACAAATCACAGATTTTGACAAAAAATAAGAAGATTAGTGACACGGAAACTTTATATATTAAGATATTATCTATTAGCGTCTCACCCTCGCTTCGCTCGAGTTAGTTCCTAGCTTGATTCCCCATTCAAACTTTCATCCCTATTTTCACCCCCCTATCGGATGATTTCCGGGATAAAAGTATTTTATGTCCTTCCTAGGGTCTCATACTATCTTCTTACTTAATTTCATTACATAAATTTCAGTTAATCCAGAGATTACCCCCTACAACAACACAAACTGACAAACTGACAAACTTTTCCTCTTTATAATATTAGTATAGATTACTTATAACGCAGTACGTTACAATTGCTCACGATATTGGTCTAGGAATTAAATTTACATGAATAAATTAATTATGCAAAGATCAATTAAGATATGATCTATTATATATGAGCCGAATAATTTTCTTTTATATTTATGTACATGATATTTTTATACAGTTCTCCCTATTTTTATAAGCAGCGGATAAAAATAGTACTTCCTTTCTGCCCCGCTTTTCGTCTCTATAAGAAATAAATTCTTAAACATAATAGATTTGAAAACATTTCAGTTTAAGCGTACATACTACGACGATCACAAAAAATAAAACAAAAAACAATGGCTGTTATATTGTTACAAAGAGGTACTATGGCATAGTAGGAATATTCTATATTGCTAGTGTTTCCCGCGACTTCGCACACGTAGTTAAATTTATCTTCAAAATATAACGTTTCTCTGATGTATAAAATATATTACTGTAAAGTTTCATTAAAATCCTTTCAGTAGTTTTTGCATGAAAGAGTAACAAACATCCATCCGTCCATTCATTCATCCATTCTTACAAACATTTGCGCTTATAATATTAGTAGGATGTTTGTTGCAAATTGTGAATAATAATGTTTAATCTATGTAACTCTACAATAATAATCCAAGGACTTTTAAGTTAATATCGATTATGATTCATGACGGTAACTATCATAGCAGGATCTTAATAAGTTTATTGTCAAGTGAAGCACGTGCTAGTAAATTTTTTAAGCCTTCTAAAAATTTAAAACAACCTATCAATATGCAAATTGTAAACTGCCTAACGTCTTATATATGTTACATGTACGCAAAAGAATTCATTGTACACAAAATGTCCTTCAAAAACAAATGTTAACAAAATTGTTAATTTTAAAAGTCATACATCAATATTTCGTAATACAGAAAAATTAGGATCGGAAGGCAATATTCTAATTCTATACAATTTCAACTGAGACTAACGATCTAGCTCCAAAGATCGACTTTACGTGCTATCTGAGGAACAAGAGCACAACAAGCTCTCTAACTTTAGGCTGCTACTGAGAACCTCTGAGCAGAAAATAAAAAAAAATATATATATTTTTATTTTATATAGGTCTACCAGCAGTTTTACAATTATATACATTTATGACTTACATACATATACAAGTGAAATATAGTTTAGTAATCGTAAATCTATTTTAAGGTAAACACAACATGCTCAAAAAACGATTAAATGTAACAGAGAAGCGTCCTAAAAAAACACATGCCACATATTTTAATCAACATCGAATTCGAACTGTAGACCTAATCTCATAATTTGCCAACAATGTTAACCATAAGGAACAAAAACGTAATTACATGAGACCATTGTACTTACGCACCTAACCCGTAACAAATGTCAAGGTATACCTATTAATATTGTCTGAAACGGAAGTTTAACCTGTGACCTTCAAATAAGCGACGTAAATAGTGTCAATTTAAATCACAGTTTCTACACAGCTAAGCATCGGACAAAAAAGCTCCAGATAAACAATTGTGTTTAGGTAATTATTCTAGTGGAAATAAATATACAACAATGTAAATTGAACCTTAAATGCAATGCTTAAAGTTGTTTTCACAAAAAAAATTAAATTAAAAGCGCGCTCAAATGTTCAAATGTGCACTCATTCGGTGAGGACATTTTTTTTCATTGATTGTGTATCTAGTACTTTTTTGATCGGTGCAGCTAAATGAAAATATTTTTTTATTATACATATTATATTGGTTTGTGATAAACCTAAAGAAGCCATAAAATCCTGGATTGTCGTATTAGCTTATTATCGTTCCTACAGCCTACCACCCGATTTGAGTTGTAGATAAAAACTATGTAGTTAATAAGTTAATAGTTGGGTACCACCCCCTCATCTATTTCTCCCGCCAAGCAACAATGATTAAATTGTTGTGTTCCGGTTTGAAGGATAAGGTAGCCAGCGCAAATACAGGCAAGAGGCATATCATTTTAGTCCTCACAGTGACAACCTGCGGTTCTGTATTTTTGTAACATAAAACCTAAGTCCATGAACCGTAGGTGTTATGGGCGACTGGTACCGCTTTCCATCAGGTGGGCTGTCTGCTCGTTTGTCACTAAATACCATAAAAAACTTACCACAGATAAGTAAGTGCACTTTGCACACCAGAGTGGTCCGCCACCGAAACCGACCATCATTCCTGCAGGAACCAATGTCTGGAGGTACGGGTAAAACTGTGCAGCGATGAAAGGCATGTATGCGATGAATGAAATTGCTATCGTCCATTTACAACCTAGCCATCTGAATATAAATAAAAATGATATATACAAATTGTATTAAAAACATTTCTTTACATATATTATTGAAAATTTATTTCTCATTGATAAATTAGTGATTTTTAAACAAACGTCTCGTGATCAATTTAATTAGACTTTCACTGATATCTGCTCTGGCATTGACCCAATATTACGTTATTTGAATGTCCACCTGACCTCTTAAACAATCACCACGTAAGACCACGTAACATGGTAAGTACCTATTAAATTTTGCTCTAATAAAATATCTATTAAATAATAATTTCAATTAGCTTAATAAAAACTTTATGATCAGAAATGGATATCTTTATATCATGTATAAAACATAAGACTCAAGAGTCATGCTACAATATAATATTGCCATGAATATGCGTTTCACATAAATGGAAAATTAAATTATTTAAAATGGGTTCAGTTTTATTGCTGCAGTATATTTAGGTATAATAAATTCTTAATAAGAAACTTAACACTAATAATAGTTTGACAATTAAATATTTTATTACCCACTTTATTACTAATATTACTAGATACTTGTAACTACTTTAAATACTCACTTTATAACGATAGCAGGTAAAAATATGTTGGAAAGTATCAATGAAAAGTAAATAGCCGCTAGTGTGAAGATTCCTGCTGCAGCATCAGTGTTCACCGAACTCTGAAGGTTCGCGGCGCCATGGAAAGCAGTGAAATGTATCATAAAAGCGAATCCCAAAACAAAAATGTTGCGATTTATCCGCCATTTTTCATTTTTACCGAAGACCACGGAGTTGGGCATTTTAAACTGTAACTAAAAAAAGTTTATTAAGATAAAAGCCATCTACTATACCTAATCATCGGTACTGCTACTACTGTGGGTACCATGTGTTAAATAAAACGAGCTTTTCGGAGTTTGTCGCGGATTTATATTGAACATGTTTTTCAACCATCCGAAATCTATATTAATTAAATATTCACTTTAATTTAAGATATTAAGTATTCTAAAAAAACACATGCCACATATTATATTACAAGTCCGATTCTTGATTAGAACAAATACCTAATTATGCCAGCCATATTATATTTTTTTTAATCAAAATCGGTTAACTTAAAAAACTACGAATGATATATATTGTCATGTCGCTAGGAAAGCCCATCATGGAGAGTGCCAGCCATCAACTTATTCACTAAAACATACAGAGGATCGTCGCAGTGCCATAAAGCGTTGCAGATTGCTCACAAATTACAAAAGCAGTGCGCGGAAAGCATTACTACCTAGGGTGTATAACTCAATATAATATATTTTTTCTCTCTGCCTACCCAGCATACTAAATGATATTATAAAACTATGAAATTTAAAACATTATAAGGTATACTAGATTTCCCCGTGTCTTCGCATGATAAGCGGGGCTTAATTAGGAGATGAACATTGAAAATCCTTTCTTAATTGACACGTGAACATTTCAAAATTTTATCATCAGTGGTTACGGCTGAGCGTTGAAGAGTCAGTCAGTGAGTCGTTATATTCATACTAATATTATAAATGTGACAGTGTGTTTGTTTGTTTGTCCTTCTTTCACGTCGAAACGGAGAGACGGATTGGCGTAATTTTTTGTCTGCAAATAGTTGGAGGGCTAGAGAGTGACATAGGCTACTTTTTACCGCGAGAGATTATCTCATTCCCAAGGAAAACATTATAATACAACCCAAAAAAATATTTGTGGTCAGAATTACTTGAAACTTGGTATTAATGTTCTTCAATACAATTAAATAAATACATGTTTTAGCATTTTTCGAAATTCATCCCATAAGGGGGTAAAATAGGGCATGAAAGTTTATATGAAACCCACTTTTTAGTTTATTTTGTAGTTTTAGCGCGAGCGAAGCCGCGAGTTCTACTAGTAATGTATAAATACGCGTTTTATACACTATTACACTATATTGTCACTAAATCTGTGATACTTGATGAATATTTATTATTCTACAACTATGTAATTATTGTATGTAGAAAATTAATTGATATGATCTTGTATTTTTTTAATGCTACCTACATTAATAATCATATCTTTAAACGCATAATATCCTTTTATAAAACTAAGATCGCCAACAAATTTTTTATTACAATTGATATTTAGTATCGAAGATACACAAAATATATCTACAACTTGCCCGTTTCAAACAAGTAGTTCTCTATCCCTTAGGAGCTGCATTCAATTCGAACTGTTTAGTATGCTATAAGTGCAGTATATTTTACTTTCGCTGTTATATTACACAATATTATTTTGTATTTCATTTATCAAAGATGTCATATAATAAATGCTATGATCTTTGAGCTCATGCTTAAATACTTATTCTATCGAAAAAAGCACTTTTCTTCTTCTTTTCAGTCTTTCCCGAATTTCCCAATTTTATGGGCAACCTTTTACAACGAACATTTTATGTAAGATTTACCGATTAATACCGATTGGTCCAGTTATTCTCAAATCTCAAGTAACGCGCTTACGTTCGTTTTTATATATGAAAATAGCAACTTATTCAGCTTCGCTCGAATGCCTAACAGTAGTTTACTTCTTACTCCGGGTCAGAGTCTATGTGCATCTACTTTTCATCCAAATCCTTCTAGCCGTTTCAGCGTAAAAAAGTAGCAAACACACACATACAAACATTCGCGATTATAATAGTAATTATCGACTCACCCTCGCTTCGCTCGGGTTCGTCCCTAGGTTGCTTTCCCATACAAAGTTCCACCCCCCTTTTCACCCCCTTAAGAGATGATTTCCGGGGTAAAACTATCCTATGTCCTTTCCTTTCCATTTCTTTTCTCAAACTATGTCCATATCATCTAAATCGGTTCAGCGAATTAATCTTGAAAATATAACAGACAGACAGACAGAGTTACTTTCGCATTTATATATTAGAATCAATTATTAAGGACTAAGAACTGCTTTAAAATATATTAACATTGAAGAAAAAGAAATAACATTACATTATTTTAAAGCGGTTTACAGATGGTAGACACGGTAATCAATATTATTACCGAAAAATCAGTTTTAAGAATACGTGAACTTTAGCTATAAAAATTTATCAGAATATAAGAATATACTTAAGGTATATTAAGATTGTGCTACTTTTGGAGGTAGTATTTTTGTTTTGTTAAAAACTATAGTTTCCTTTACAACATCTACAGCTTACATTTTGATATATAAAAAAAGACAATTTAAGATGCTAATTTATTACAGTTGAGGAATATTTATCTATATTACTCATTTCTAGCAATATTGCGGGGAAAAAATAATTGGTCTTGTAGACTTGTACTTTTTATGTTAGCTCTAAGCATACCTACCTAATATCATATGCAACATCGTTATTCTTTATAATTGTTTACGTAACTTATCGTTTTTATTTAGAACTAGCAACTCACCCTAGCTGCGCTCGGATTTGTCCCTAGTGAAAAACAAAAACAAATTTATCCCACGGGAACCGTATATTTTTCCGGGATAAAAAGTAACCTATGTGCTATACCAGACTAAGTATATCTATCTCTGTGCCAAATTTCATCTAGAAACATTCAGCCGTTATGGCGTGATTGAGTAACAAACATCCATCCAAACCTTTGCATTTACCTATAATATTAATGATATTTCTAATGTGATTTAAAACAATAATTTCAGAATACAAAATTTTTTTTGGAAAACAAATATCATGTACTACTATAATCATAATCCTTAAAAAATCTACATAAGCAGAAGTCATATAAGCTTAAGTTGTTCATATATAAATAGTTTAAATGTTAAATAACGGCAATAAGACGTATAAAACGATTATCCATGAATATTTACATTTACATGGTAACTAAACACCAAACACTACAATATACCAGAAGAGGTAAAATTTCAAAACTACTAATCTATGTCAGAAAATTTTTTTTCGTACCAGGACGCTATATTATACCTGTAAGATATCTAGATTAATTTTATATTCGTATTTTAAATGTACCATACTTGTATTGACATTATCCGTAGTAATATTATATATTTTAAAAGTTTTTGTTTGTTTGTTTGCCCTTCTTTCACATCAAAACAGAGTGAAGGATTGGCATATTTGTGTGGAGATAGTTGGAGGGCTGGACAGTGACATAGGCTACTTTTTACCGCGAGAAAGTATCTCATTCCCACAGGAAAACACGTTACAATACAACCCACAACGACCTATATACTTATTTATAAATATAATATATAGGCTATGTATTTCACACTAACCGTTAAATCCAATCAAATCATGTTATAAAAATGATATGGAAAGGGCACGAGGGATTAGTTAAAGCCAGTAAGGCAATAGGTACCTATCCTCAAGAAACATAAGCGCAACAAATAATATTACAAGAAATAGCTTTCAATAGATAATACATAATTTACATTACGAAGGTAATACTTTTATTACCTATAATACATAACACCTACATAAATATGTATATAGGTCATATTATTATTTTATTTATTAGACCTTATTTCCTGTAACTTTCGGCCTCGACACAATGCTTTATAAAAAGAGTTCTAATATATAACACTTTTTTGCATGTTAGTCAAGGTTTGATATGTTGACTTTGTTAGTGTTACTGGCATATAGGTACACCTATTACCATACCATGACCTATTAAGTAATAACTATTAATATAAAAGTGTGTGTGTTTTGGGAAAAGGTATAAAAATGTTTTTTTTTAGAAATGACAAAGATAAACTTTAAAAGTAAACCTTCGCTTAACACAAAATTTGATTCAAATCGTAAGAGCCATATTGCGCGGGCAAATCTTTTTATATGAAAATACGGAGAAAACAAGTTTCCCAGATATGAGACCTAGCTTGATCGATTTTTCGCTCCCGTAAATCACCATAATTACAAATTTCATCGAAATCGTTAAATCCGTTTTCTAGAACGTGATTACAACTAATACATATATATGTATATTTGTAATCACGTTCAGATATATGTACAAATATTGCTCGTTTAATAGTATAAGATTAATCTTTTATACACAGATTTTTGATGATCTCTTAGCGCTTATCACGGAATTTATGCTTCGTTTTATTAAGACATACTAGTATTATCTTTTATTCATACGACTGTAAATAGTTAAGTTATATTTTCCTCAAATAAAAAAAAACTTGTTAAAATATTCCTTTCAATGCAAAAACATCTTTGCAAATAACTATAGATAACCTGGGCCGTTTATGAGAATTGAACAAATTAATTATAATTGTGTACTTTTACGCAAATAGCCGGCGACATGTGGTAGGGAAATACCCCATGCGTTGTAAAAAATAATAACGGTAAGTCATATATAAAATAAGAAAATTACCTAGCTATATACATAATATCTAGATGGAAGAAGCATGATCATACGCAAATCGCAATACAACGAATTTAATGCGATATGAAATTTTAAGCGAGTTGAATTTACGTACCGAGAGTTGCTATTACAATTATTACAATAACTAGCGACTCACCCTCGCTTCGCTCGGGTTCGTCCCTGGCTTGATTCCGCATACAAACTTTCATTCCCATTTTTACCCCCTTAAGGGATGATTTCCGGGATAAAAAGTATCCTATGTCCAGGGTCTCAAACTATCTTCTTACCAAATTTCATCTTAATCGGTTCAGTAGATCAAAAGATTACCCCTACAACGTCACAAACTCACAAACTTTACCTCTTTATAATATTAGTATAGATAGATAATTATTATTGTACACATTTATACGGATTATGCTTACGTATCATACAAAATAAGCATAAAAAATTTT